GAAGCCTTCAACCATACATGAAGCCTTCGGCCATACATGAAGCCTTAGGCCATACATGAAGCCCTCAGCCATACATGAAGCCCTCGGCCATACATGAAGCCCTCGGCCATACATGAAGCCCTCGGCCATACATGAAGCCTTCGGCCATACATGGAGCCCTCGGCCATACATGAAGCCCTCGGCCATACATGAATCCTTCGGTCATACATGAAGCCTTCGGCCATACATAAAGCCCTCGGCCATACATGAAGCCTTCGGCCATATGATCCAGGTCAAAGGGTCTACGCTCTACGAAGCTTCCTCTGAAGACAAGCAACCACCGCATTCAATGTGGCGTCACATCCACCCACCGCATTTAATGTGGTGCACATGCGAGTGCCAGTTCCACCCCGATTGAGGTGACCCCTCGGTCGTCAGATTGTTGACAGTGTACTCTCATCGCATTTATGGCTACTATAAATAGCAGCCCTTATTCATCTTGTAAAGGATCCCAGATCAGATTTCATTAATATTTCTGACTCTCTCTCTTACTCGTTTGCTCTGACTTCTCTCTAGGTTATTCCCCGAATAACCCCTCGGACAAGCTACCCCCCGGGTACACTGTCCATCATTTGGTGCTCTCGTTGAGAGGTTTGAACACAATCAAGTAAGAAACCCTCCCCAATTCCCAAAAATCCTTCCTAATCATAAAAATTCAACCAAAAAAACTATTCTGAAAAGAAAAGAAAAGAAAAAAAGAGAAAAAGCAACGGATAAGATATGGAAATTTGCATCTCGGATTTCTGACACAGAAGCCGGAGATGTCATCGCCGGAAAACTCATCGCCGTACTGGTCCCCGTCGTACACCGACAGTAGAAGTTTGTCGCCTGCTAGCTGAGGCTGACCAGCCGTTCCCAGGTCTGAGCTGAAGTTGACCAGCCGTTCCCAGGTCTGGGCTGAAGTTGACCAGCCGTTCCCATTTCCCAGATCTGAGCCGAAGTTGATAGCCTATATGGGTATCAATTGTCCAACACCCTTGTTGGAACGTTCTTATAGGATATAGGAAAAGAGAAAATGTTTGATTCACACTTTAATTTGCTCTCTGCTTAGACTCATGCTTCACTAAACTTCCAAGTTAGAATTCACATTGCTAAATTCTGGAAGTTTAGTTCTTAGTTGGAGGCTAGAATTTTTGTTATATCACAAATTGTTATAAACACTTAGCAGGACAGTTTTATCTAGTCCTAAGTGTGGATGAATAGAATAGAGTACTTTTTTATCCTCACTGGATCAATTGAGAAAATCTAAGGATTGAGTAGCTTGGAGTGGTGTGTACTCCTAGTGAAACACCTTTCAATCTAGGCTAGTTGTGTGGTTACAACCAAATTGGCACTAATTGTATTGGGTTTAATACTTTAGTTGAAATCCATCTGAAAGAGGGTGGGACTGGACGTAGGAGGATTACACCACCTCTGAACCAGGATACATCGTGTGTTTATTTATTTTCAGTCAACAAAGCACACACCAAACACCTTTTTAATCAAGCAGTAGCTTGATTAGTCACCTCGACAACAGTGTACTGCCCACCCTACTGCTCACCTTACTACTAAGTAAACTGCTCGGCTAAACATTTTCTTAAAGACATCTCAATGATTTAGAAGTCCTCTACACTATTCATCAATATCCTAGTCTAAACCGAAGTATCGAAGTTATATATTTCCTTCACAGTAGTCTCACCAGTACTCTACCCTTACCTCACTACTTAGCCCACTGCTTACCAAACTGCCCTCATAGAAAAGTTCAAACCTCACTCCAACACTCCACTTGAGTTCATTTGAGATCATGAAACTTATCTGACTGTCCTTTAGACTTCTTCTTTGTTCACTTACTATAAATAGAAAGTTGTCATACACTATTTACATAGAGGTCAAGACTTCCGCTTTGTATCTTTCATCTCCTAAAAGGTTATTGATCATCATATCTAGTAGGGAAAAGTTTTTAATGTTGAAAAAGCTTTAAAAGTCTATCCCCCCCAATCTTTACCTCTATCAGGGACCATCTATATATATATATATATATATATATATATATATATACACACACAAAAAAAAAAGATCAGGTCCATCAAGAGGGACGGGAGGCGCCGTCCGGCCAAGGCCATCAGAGGCCCTTCCTAGTGGAATTTTTTGATGACAGTTTTTGAGCATGTTCCTCATCAAGTCTAGTTTATCCATACCAAATTTCAGCTACAAATTCAACCGGGAAGGTACTCAAATGATTTTTGGAAGATAACTGCGTTTTGTATGTATATAAACTGCGCAGTTAACTTCCAAAAATCATTTAACTGCCTTCCTGATTGAATTTTTAGCTGAAATTTGGTATGGATAAACTAGACTTCATGAAAAACATTCTCAAAAAATTTCAGCAAAAAATTCCACCGGGAAGAGCCTCAAATGGCGACGGCTGGACAGGATCATTACTCCATTCTCACGAGTTCTCATTTTAAGAGGGGTTCTCATATATATATATATATATATATATATATATATATATATATATATATATATATATATATATATATAGTACTCTTCTCATTAGGCCGGCCTGACGGGAACCTCCGTCCGGCCGAGCTCGTTTGGGCACCTTCACGGTGGAATTTTTGATGAAATTTTTTGAGCATGTTCCTCATCAAGTCTAGTTTGTCCATACCAAATTTCAGCTCAAAATTCGATCGGGAAGACATTCGAATCATTTTTTGAAGTTGACTGCGTCAAAATATACATATAAAACTGCAGTCAACTTCAAAAAATGATTTCAATGCCTTCCCGATCGAAGTTTGAGCTGAAATTTGGTATGGACAAAATAGACTTGATGAGGAACATGCTCAAAACATTTCATCAAAAAAATCCACCAGGAAGGTGCCCAAACGGGCTCGGCCGGACGGAGGAGCCCGTCAGGCCGGCCTGACATGAACATTCCTCTATATATATATATATATATAGGGTTAAGATCAGATACAAAGTATGCTTCCGGTACAAAATGCAAAATCATCTCATCCGTTCAATTTTATAAAATCAATGGTATGATTTGTTTTGAACACTAATAATCATCTGTATTAGTGGGTGGGGGACAACACGTAAGCCCAAAGATTTCGAGTGGAGTGTTTAAGTGTGGGTGATTAACTGATCCAACAACAAGTAAGATGGGCAAAGAGAATAATGAATAAGTAAAGGATCAGATATTATTAATGATGAATAACGCCCCGATACAATACACTTGCTAAGGCCGAAGACGGTTAGTCCTCTATTGTAGTAGAAGAGCTGCGAGTAATATCCTAGAGTGCTAAAGCTAATAAGTTGTCAACCATTTACAATGAAATAAATGCTACTATTTATACCACCAATGGGCAGTTGGCCATGCCGATGTGAGAACGGCATGGCCAAGTAAAAACATCCTTAGTGAGAACGGTTGAGTAGTGGACTAGGTGATCGAGACCAAGAGACTAACGGCCTGTTTGGAGGAGGTGTTGGAAGGTGTTAGTAACAGAAGTGTTAATAAGTGTTGGCATAGGCCCGGAAGGGAAAGTAAGTATAAGTGTTAAACAAAATCTTACCTTGTTTGGGAGAGTTAAAAAAATGAAGTGTTAGTAATGTAAGTGTTTCACTTAAATTGACAAAAATATCCTTTTTTATGCAATTGTAATTGATAAAGCTCTGTACAAACAAGGAGTTCTATATACACAACTACGCCTTCGTGTATATGTATATACCCACAAACCTAGAAGAACAAGAAGTCAAGAACAAGAGAATAAATCATTAGGAAAATATATATCTATATCGATCTGAATACATATAGCAAGGACTGAGGATATACAAATGGTGTCATCAGAGTTTGGGGAATAAGTGCTTACTGGACTGGGAAGTATATTACGGGCAACAATAAATCATATGTACATGTTATTTAAAAATCTTCGAACTCGTAGTTTTTTTTTTTGTTCCAAGAGTATTTCGTTCTTCCATCTTTTTCTTTTCTCATGTTTTTTACACAACTGAAATAGTTTTTTGGATCGTGACTAAAAAAAGCAAGGACCGAATGAACAAATCATTGGTAGATAACTAAAATGGAAAAAGATGAAGAACTGGGAAAAAGAGATGATAGAACTGGGATAAAGATGAGAGCAGTCTCAACTAGAAAAGAGCCGCAGAAGAACAGTCTTTAGCAGCAGAAGAAGAGTCGGAGAAGAACAATCTTTAGCCGCATGAGAAGAAGAGTTTGGCTGAGGAAGAGAGAACTACGATTGGAATAAGAAGGGTAAATGTTGTCTAATGCTTCATGACACTCCAATTTGGGGTGTTAAAAAAATGATAAATATAGGTGTTAGGAAGGTTTTGGTTAACACCTTCAAACACTTACTAGCACCTCAATTTTTTTTAATTTTTCTCTCAAACAAGTGTTAAATTAAACACCCCTTAACACTTCCATTACTAACACCCATCAACACTCAATCCAAACGGGCTGTAAGGGCTCCAGTCCTTGTTATTGTTGTTTTGCATTGTTGACTTCATTTCTTTATCTTGCGGAGTCCCTAGTTAAGTAGTTAGTAGTTAGAGACAAGGTGCTTGAAGCAGATGGGCCGGAACGAGGTGCCTATCCAGCCCATTTCCATAGTCTATCAATTTGACATTCCTTTCTTTACTTTGTCATACATTACTTTTATAACATTTTTAGGTTAGAAATTCTTTTGATTGTTAGTACTTATTAATAATCATAATAATATTGCCTAATTGTTATGACACTTCCCGATTATGTGCCAAATATAACTAACCAAAATGTTATGCAATTTTTTAAAGATTTTATCATAGAAGTTGCATAACCAAAATGGTTATGCAATTTTTTCAAATTCCTCAAAAAAAAATCCGATTGATTTTTTACTACTGTGAGAAACAATATATTTTCGAAAAATGGTTTTGCTTCTAAGATTTTAAGCCTTAGAACCCTACTGTGTACTTGTGTTTAGCACCAATAGAAGCTATTAATAGAGTCCATTTCCCACATAAGACGCCCTATGATGGAAGAGAGTATATAGTAAATAACCAACACATGCACACCACCTTACTCGAAAATGCAATAATCCAAATAAATAATACTCTAACAATACAACAACATTACCCAGTTCTCCAAAGGCTCCGATAGAGACTTTTCTGGATGACCCAAGAGTACACTACCCAATTCCCAATACAATTTCATCACCGGTAAAGCATAGTCATTAAAGTACCGCTTTCCATGATATAATTATCCTTTACAGCAGGATACCAATTTAAATGAATAATATCAACCCATCCGGTACTTTTGCACCTTACCAATTGCAAGATCACCATCTTCATCCAACAGAGCTTCCAAACGCACGCCCGCGCTAATATCAAGGTTCTTTCTTTTCACAGTATACCCGTATGACTGTTGAAAACTCATCAACTGCAACAATATTTTCCATCACATGAAATTAGTAACTTTCACAATATTGTAATTACATGAAATTAATAACTTTCACAGTATACCCAGTTGTAAATACACAATTGTAATTGCTAGTCATTTACCGAATCATATCGTGACATATACTCTTTTGAGCCCTTTCCATAACCTGCAGCAATCAACACATCCTCTGCAGCCTGAATATGTGATGGAACACCAACAACAATAAGCTTGAATGATATGTTGCCATGTATCAAAGGTGTTTCTAAAGAATCATAAAGCTTGCTCACTTTTGTATCATTCACACTAGAAATGCAATAAATAAAGCTCTCCAACCCGTGATCATCATCATCCACACATCCAAGCATTGATCCCATGTCCTAAATCATTAGCGAAGTAATTTTTATTTTAGTCTCTGATTAATTAAAAACATCAAGCTGAGAAAAACAGTAGGAAAGAGAGACTTTCAGTTGTTGTTTTGTTTGGGGAATTCTAGGAGCCAGGCTTTTGCTCAGGTTCAAGACACAAGTAGGAGGAGGATCAAGCTTTGTAACCCCAGGAGATTCAGCAAGCAAGGTTGAAGAATCCTCTGCCAGTCCAATCGACCGCCTCTTGGCATCTCGATTTTCTAAAGCAGCAATAATAGAACTTCCACTCCTCTTATCGTGTGCAAAGACTTCGTGAGACGCTTCATTCTCCTAATAATTCAATCATAATTTCAAAATTTTCACAGTTTCAGCTTCAAGATAAGACCATAACTACTGGAATTAGCCATAAGGAACCATATGTTGAAAAAGAAACTGTAAAATCCCAATTTAACGACTATAATTCAAGAAATTCAGATTATGATTGGAAAGCATGATAGAGTTAAATGGCCAAAATAATTATTAAAAAAATCAGAGCACTACAATGTAACTAACTGTTTACAGAATCTGTTAAAAAATGCTACAAAAGCATTTAGATATTCTTGTGTAACCCACATTTTACAATTTTAAGTTCTGACATGTTAGACAAAAAGAGGATTTAACAAAAAAAATGTTATTCCAGCTCTCACATGCATGCAATGATCTGATAGTTGACAAGATTAATAATAGAAATTGCAAGATTATAATTTAAACTTTTTTCATAAAATCATTGGTACGAGTATTTGGTCCCAGCTTCAGTCCCTTAGGTGTGTTTATTTTTGGGAGAATTTGACTTTGCACCACATGTTTTGGATAATATTGAACTTTACACCCCATTTTCAAAATCATTAATATATGCGCCCATCTGCTCAAAATGATTTTATAGTGTATTGGGTGCATATATTAATGATTTTGAAAGTAGGGTGCAATGTCAAATATCACTCAAAACATGGGGTGCAGAGTCAAATTCTCAATTAATTTTTTCAAAGAGTTTTTGCCAGCTTTGGTCCACTGATTACACCGATTATTGCGTCTGTGACACTTTAGGTCAACTTTTAATTTTTCCATTTTTAGTCCTATTGTGCTAGAGACACTTTTAGTACTCGAATTCAAAATTTCCCATATTTAGTCCCCAAAGTATTATAAAATTGACATTTTTATTCCTTCCATTATGATTTGGCACAAAAGTGGAGGACTAAAAATGTCACTGTTATAATAGTTAAAGATCAAAAGTGTGACTTTTATGAAAGTTGAAGAACTAAATAGGGACAATATCAGAGGCGGGTACCAAGTGTCTCCAGCACAATAGTCGAGGACTAAAACAGGAAAAAATCAAAGTTGAGTGCCAAAAGTGTACATAATAGCCGGAGGACTAAAAGTGACAAAAACTCTTTTTCAAACAAAATATGAAATAAGATGCAATACAACACCAATCTGATTAAGGGGGTGTTTGGAAGTGATTCTGCTTCTGCTTCTTTTTTTAAAGCAGAAGCAGAAGCAAAATCAGTTTTCAGAAGCTGGTACCCCCAACTTCTAAAAAAACTGATTCTGAGAGGAAATTAGAGCTCCAGAAGTGCTTATGGAATTTCACCCAAACACTACAACTTCTACTTCTGCTCCCTGAAGGGGCAGAATCAGTTTTTAGAATCAGATCCAAACACCCCCTAAAATAGCAATAGCCATAGCCAATAGGTATTACCTGGTCCATTTTCAGTGGGAGTTTCGAGATCCTTGACTGAAAAGGGGAAAAAAGCACATGAAACATCGATCAAATACATGAAAACAGCAACAAAAAAAGGAGAAGAACGTACTATGGAGAAAAAAATGACATGAAACATCGATGAAATACATGGAAACAACAAAGTATGGAGAAGAACAACCTGTGGAGAAGAAATATAAACATAAATTCAGAGAAGGGGATGCCACAATACCTTTAACAACCGCGGCGTTAGGGTTTCTGCGTACTCAAACCGTCCACAATGGATTACCAGAAAAAGCTTCTGAAACCCGGCGAGTTGATGTGTGAGAATCTGGGGCCGTGTCTCGAGGCTAGTTTACATCCTTGTTGATTTCCACGTTTTCTGTACCGATGATGTACGTACACGCTACCCGATACCTGAGACAACAATTTTGTTCGGGCAATTCATGAATCGTAAATTTGTACCACGTATTTTAAACTTCGATATTGGCCTTTGTTTGGCAGTCCGTCCTTTTAGGGAGTGTTTTCAATTGCTATAAAAAGTGATTTTGGGAAAATGATTTTGGAAAAAGTGATTAATAGTAAAAGTTGGTAATTTTTTAGAAAAAAGTGATCCTGGAAAAGTAAAAGTTGCTAGGAGCATATCCAATGCTAAAACGTTAACGGTGTATACGTGGCATGAGAAATAATCTATTAAAAAAACAATAAATATAATATCTCTTTCTTTCTTTCCACGGTCTTATGTGTTTATGGTAAGTTTTTGTCTGCAATGTCAATCACAATGTCTACATCTAGACATTGTGCTTGACATTGTGAAGAAAAACTTACCAAAATGATTTAAGATACTTCAAATAAGGAGAGAGATATTGTATTTATTGTTTTTTAATTAGTTATTTTCAATGCCACGTATGCACTGTTAACCTTTTAGCATTGGAGATGCTCTAATGTTTGATAAAGTGAAAAGCAGTTTAAAGCACCCTTCCATCTGCTTCCAGCTTTTAGCTTTTAAGTGATTAATTTAAGCAGAAGCTGTCATTTGAAAACACTCTTTTTAGCTTTTTTTAAGTCAAAAGCTGAAAAGCGCTTTTTTTAAGCAACCGCAAACACTGCTTTAGCCGGTTATGAAAGTGTTGGGCCGCGGGTATGCGGTGCCAGCAACAGCCAGCATGCCGGTGCAGTCAGACCGCGTGGCGCTTCGCATGTGCTATAAATGGTGAGGGGCGTGCTACACTATCAGCGATTGCTTTTAGTGTAGCGGTAAGCGCAACGATCCACAATTAGTATCAGAGCCAAGGTCACGGGTTCGACTCCCGGCAAACAGCATGCTGCGCAGTTGTAACACCGTCCCCAAATGTATTTACTTTTACGTAAATGATGTAATAAACCTTATGGAATGATTTATGAATTTACGAGGTTGTAAATTTTTATTAATTCTTTCGCGTGAATAGTAAATTTCATGTGGGACCCACACCGGGAGCGGGGGCCGCCCGGCATTCCCGAAACCATATATTTTATTCATCTTGGTCTAGATAATAAATATATAGTGGTGGATATTTCATTTGGGCCATGGAAGGGCCCGGAGTTGACCGATTGGTCAAAAGAAGCTCAAATTACCGGTACTGGTAATTTAACAGATAACAGCCCGAACTGAATTTCGGGGGCTTATAAATTAAAGTTGGGGAATGTATATTCATTATACATGTCATAACGAGTAAGAGCACATGATAAATTTTATTTGACCCGATAAAATAAAATATATTTAAAACAGTCCGAAAAATACAACTTTCGGGACAAATTGTACACTTCGGGACAAAAAGGGTTGACCTCCCACATGGGTGGGGGCCAACCCACGTTTTTTCCACTCAAATAGAGGGCTTGGCCGGCTGGAGGGATGGAGAGGCATGGGAGAGGTGTGTGTGAAGTGAAATAAAAGGCATCAAACAAAAAGAGGTGGACCCCCATGTATACTCATTGATCAATGAGACAAAGGCAACCCCCCATCCCCCTCTCCTCATCTTTTTCGGCCATCCTTCATCCAGCAAGAGCAAAAGAGCTTCCCACTTTCCTTCCTCCATTTTTGAAGAGAGCTCATCAAGGAAGAATCACCCAAAAAAGAGCTAAAGTGCTAAAAGTGTGAAATAATTAAGGTAATGACCTTATTATAACTTTTCCTTTATTTTTCTTCTACCATATGAGATATATATCATGTGAAGGATCCTTGAGAGGATTCTACATGTTATAAGTATGGATTTATGGGTTGGAAAGTGATTCTATGTCCAAGAACGGACTTAGGAGCCAAAACGACCGGTTCACCGGAAAATAACCTTTTTGAGGTTATTTGTATTAATATGGGTTTTATGATTATAAAACCTTGTTAGGAACTTGTGAAAGGTATTTCAAGTGATTTCACAAAGTTGGAAAAGTCGCCGGAGTTGTCGCCGGAGTTGACCAAAAGTCGCCGGAGTTTCACCGGAGTTCAACTAAGAAGGGTAGAACTTCATAACGCTAGTTCAAGTGAGTGGACGGCTTAATATCTTATAACTTTTGGGTTAATTATGAGATTACCTAAATAAATGTTATATGCGTTCATAATGATGTTTAAAAGATATTTAAACATGTGATTAGCCAACATTATCAAATTGTATGAAAAGAATTAATTGATTATGCATGCAATATGATATGAGGAATTATATAAAATGCACATTAGCTTGAAGTGTAAAAGAAGCTCAAATGAGTATTATTAACTTAATTATATGATGATTAAGTTGATATGTACAAGGCTTGAATTGGCGGTCAACGACAACGTTGACCGACGGATGATGGATTAATTAATATCGGTTGATGTTAGTTAATTATACATTTATATAAATGCATGGCTTTGCATGGATTGTGATACATAAGATTTATGTATTGGATTAGTTATGAGTAACTAAGGATGATATAGACTCTATCTAGGTTGATAGGAGGTTGATCATAGGAAAACTTGGTGGAGGACCCTAGTACTTAAAAAGTACTTAACACTCAAACTTGGTGGAGGACCCTAGTACTTAAAAAGTACTTAACACTCAAACTTGGTGGAGGACCCTAAGACTTAAAGTCCTTAACACTCAAACTTGGTGGAGGACCCTAGGACTTAAAGTCCTTAACACTCAAACTCGGTGGAGGACCCTAGTACTTAAAAAGTACTTAACACTCAAAAAACTTGGTGGAGGACCCTTGTTGGTCCCAGATTATGCAGACTAACACGCAGCTAGATGGATTTCATCGACACACAGAAAGAGAGAAGATCTGATAATGATAAGGCAATATCGAGAACAAGGAAATTCTCCTTCCTGTTTTATCGAGAAGTAAATTTGGCAGCGTAAGGCTAGCGTGTATTGATCGATATCGGTACCTGTACACAAGGCGCATATTTATAGGCGCTGTACAGGTTACCGATTTAGGTAAACCTTGGAAGTTGGGCCAAGGCCTTTTTGGGCCTTATTCCCTTTACCTTATTTGCTACATAATAAATACTAATCTAATACCATAAATAGTATAACTAGTCTACTTTATTTAAACAAGACATTACAGACAAACTTGACCCACAATAAAAGTTCTAACAATCTCCCCCTTTGTGGTCAAGTGCCGTCTTGCTGGGTTTCTTTACTTCTGAGCTTTGTAATAGTTCTTTCTGAGATTAAGTGCGTGCTCATAGTTTCTGAGTGAGTTTCTTTTATCAAGTTGTTTCTGAATAGCCTGTAGGATTCTGTCTATTCTGTGTGCTTCCTTTAATTCGGCATCTGTCGCATCTGCATACTGTTGCTGTCTTTCTTTGAATGCTTCCCTGATCGGTTGCAGCTTTTCTTTCACAATCTTCAGGGTTCCGTCACAGTACTTGTTGATTTCATCAATGAATAGCATACGTTTCTCACCATTATGATTTAGATAGATAAGCGTGATTGGTCTATCAAAAATGTAATACTCAGGGAAGTCCTCAAGTTCTTGTCCATACAGCTTTGGTTTTGTGAGATTTGTCTTCGGCATGTTCGTTTCAAGCGCCATCTGAAGATCATGAGAGGCAAAGAATTTGATTTGTCTGAGCATAAAGCGCTTGAGTGCATCCAGCCCATTTTATGTAGTTGTGTCACGAGTGCCCGGAATTTCTTGAAATGCAAGATACATCTGATATATGTCATCCATTTTTAGCATATAGAGATCATTTTCCTTGCACGTGAATTCTGTTCCGTCAGACCGTTGTAGATGGTAGACAGAGAGTTTGATGTCTTGGGAGTTTGTTTCACCCACGTTGAGAATAGCCCAGACTGGGTCTTTGGCAGTTTGAAGTTCGTGTTGCCAGACTTCTCTCTGTTGTCCCATATAGTGATGACTGAGTAGAAATAGCTGTCCTCCCTTGTTTTGTCCTCGTAGATGGTTAAGACCACAGATCTTCAGTTCATCCAGTTCTCTGACCTTATCCTCTTTTCGCCAGATGTTTTCTCTGATTTCTTCTTGAAAGGGGGCGTTGATGTCGATCTTTTCCCAGGGCTTCTCATTTCTGGGCATTTGAGTCGCTGTTTGTCTAATGATCGACTCAAGCTCCTTGGGTGGTGTCTCGTAGTTTTCTCCCTCCTTGAGTTCGTTTTGATCAAGTAGAATCACGTCAGTAGCACAGTTGACTAAGAGATCTCTGAGGTATGTTCTTCGCTGTGCTTCATCTACATCTGTCCAGAGTTCAGACCATTTGTTATGCACCAGCATTTCCTCAAGTTCATCATGCATTTGATCATTGTAGTAGCTAGAGGAAGCCTGTTGCTGCTGTGGCGACACGTCTGGCGTAGCATCGGGATCCTGGTGAGACTTGCAGGGATCCTCAATTATCTCAACACGATGCTCTTGCGCAGAGACCAGACCTCTATACTTCGTTACATGCGGCCAATCCTCCCTTGGCTGAGAAAGTGAACCACCGGGATCCTCAGGATTGCCCGTTGACATCAGTTTCGAACTAGGTTCTAACTGACGGCCTGAGTAAGAAGATGTACTCATGGTAGCATCATCAGGACTTCCATTCCGTCCTTGGTTAACATCTATAGGAGATGCACCTCGGGATGTTATGTCTAGCTCGACCATGCTAGAGAGAGTGGCTAGGGATTTATGGCTGGCTGAAGTAGTGGGTTGCTCATTGGTAGAAGTGGAGGGTTGATTTGGCTTTGAGGGTTGGCTAGTAGAAGCAACATGCTCAAGTATCCGCGGGCGCTTGTTCTCCCCCTCATGAGAATCCGAATCATCAGGATCCTCATGTGAACGTTTAGCGCCACGGAGACTGTCACGGCAAGTGTTCTGTGTACCTAGAGCATGGAGATGGGCTTTTTGAAGAGGGGTGAGGTTGCCTTCTTCCACGTCTAGTATACGGTCGTAGATCTCAGCTACAAGATCCTCGAAGGGTACAGTTGTTAGGTTGGGTTTGGTCGTTGTAGGGGAGAATACTAGTTCTGTATCCTGGGTTCCCCTTG